GTCTCTGTGTCTCGCTGTCCGAGTGCTGAGTCTGTGTCTCTGGCTGTCCGAGTGCTGACCTCTGTGTCTCTCGCTGTCCGAGTGCTGAGTCTGTGTGTCTCGGTGTGGTCGATTCTTCTCCGTCTCCGTCTCTACGCTTCTGTCTGTCTCTCTGCGCCACTGCTCCTCTCTCTCTCTCTCTCTTTATGTCTCTCAAACCACCTATGTGTGTCCGTTTATCTCTCAATCTGTCTGTCTAGCCTGTCCCTTCGTGCATTTGTCTGTCTGTGTTCATGTTCCTATCTATCTTTGTACCTATCTTTCATAACTATGCCCATTCCCCGTGCTGTCTGCCTGTCTCTGTGTATTTCTATATTGCTTCCTGGCTTGATGCTGATGCTGGGACGCCGTGGTGCCGAGAAGCTAACTCCCTCTTGGTACGCAGGAGGGGTCGTGGGTTCGATCCCCACCCTGTGATGCCTGCTGTATATTTGGAGTTTACGTGTCTCTCTCCGCGTGGCCGCGTGGATTTTTATCCGGGTTCTATGGCTTTTCCCTGTACATTTAGAATCGACACCACGCGTTTTAAAGTATTTGGCTGCTACAAATTGCCACATTGTTAGGCTACCATTTGTGGCCAGTCGCTTCTGAAAACGAGCTATATAGCTCAGTAAAATATATATATATTTCTAGATTAGTTTCAGATTTAAAGTTCATTTGCCAGAGTACCCACGTAGCTTGATTCGTCCAGTAGGGTGCAACGATTGCTGCTCTGCGTGTGATCCCACTTAATCAGAATCAACATTTACATATATCCAGGAGGGGGAATCCGATGAGCCATGAAGCTCGTTTTCACAGATGTCCAGTGAGGGGTTGCTGGTCACCAAGTTGCACAGTGGCCGACTCTTTGCGAATGACCTCACGGGATCTCTAACGCCCGCCGTGAAGCAGAGGGACGCGTGATATCATTACGGACATTGCATTCGTAATAATAATAACAATCAGGGCGGCCACTCGATTCGAACCGCGAAACCTTTGCGACAACGAGCAGCGAACGTGCTACAACTGGACCGCGTCACCGCCCGATGCTAGTGATGGTGGTGATGGTGGTGATGGTGGTGATGGTGGTGTTGATAGTGATGATAGTGATGGTGTCGGTGATGACGGTGAAGATATATGTATGCATGTTGAACTTCTTTCCCACCATACGTAGCCAACCGCGATGGTGATGCTGTTGGTGATGCTGTTGGTGATGCTGTTGGTGATGCTGTTGGTGATGCTGTTGGTGATGTTGCTGGTGATGCTGCTGGTGATGCTGTTGGTGATGTTGTTGGTGATGCTGTTGGTGATGCTGTTGGTGATGCTGTTGGTGATGCTGTTGGTGATGCTGCTGGTGATGCTGTTGGTGATGCTGTTGGTGATGCTGTTGGTGATGCTGTTGGTGATGCTGTTGGTGATGTTGCTGGTGATGCTGTTGGTGATGCTGTTGGTGATGCTGTTGGTGATGTTGTTGGTGATGCTGTTGGTGATGTTGCTGGTGATGCTGCTGGTGATGCTGTTGGTGATGCTGTTGGTGATGCTGTTGGTGATGTTGCTGGTGATGCTGCTGGTGATGCTGTTGGTGATGCTGTTGGTGATGCTGTTGGTGATGCTGCTGGTGATGCTGCTGGTGATGCTGTTGGTGATGCTGTTGGTGATGCTGTTGGTGATGTTGCTGGTGATGCTGTTGGTGATGCTGTTGGTGATGCTGTTGGTGATGTTGCTGGTGATGCTGTTGGTGATGTTGCTGGTGATGCTGTTGGTGATGCTGTTTGTGATGCTGTTGGTGATGCTGTTGGTGATGCTGCTGGTGATGCTGTTGGTGATGCTGTTGGTGATGCTGTTGGTGATGTTGTTGGTGATGCTGTTGGTGATGCTGTTGGTGATGCTGCTGGTGATGCTGTTGGTGATGCTGTTGGTGATGCTGTTGGTGATGTTGTTGGTGATGCTGTTGGTGATGCTGTTGGTGATGCTGCTGGTGATGCTGTTGGTGATGCTGCTGGTGATGCTGTTGGTGATGCTGTTGGTGATGCTGTTGGTGATGCTGTTGGTGATGTTGTTGGTGATGCTGTTGGTGATGCTGTTGGTGATGCTGTTGGTGATGCTGTTGGTGATGTTGCTGGTGATGCTGTTGGTGATGCTGTTGGTGATGTTGCTGGTGATGCTGTTGGTGATGCTGTTGGTGATGCTGTTGGTGATGCTGTTGGTGATGCTGTTGGTGATGCTGCTGGTGATGTTGTTGGTGATGTTGCTGGTGATGCTGTTGGTGGTGCTGTTGGTGATGCTGTTGGTGATGCTGTTGGTGATGTTGCTGGTGATGCTGCTGGTGATGCTGCTGGTGATGTTGTTGGTGATGTTGCTGGTGATACTGTTGGTGATGTTGCTGGTGGTGGTGATGGTGATGATGCCTGGTACTAATCTGATGGTAGCCGTGGTCGGGAATCGGAACTCGGTTGGGAAGGGGTTCACAGTGCAGTGCGCTAACCGCTGGGCCACCGCTGCACGCAATGCGATAATGATGATGATATTGCTATGCAATTGAGTTTCGGTTCTCTCGGGGTATGAGCCTGGCTGATAAACCCCAAATAAATTACTTTTAAATCAGCTTTAAAAAAATAACCTCATGAAACTAAATTTAATTTATATATAAATTTCATGTGATGGAGTAGTGGTGCAATGGTTGGAGCGCTGCCAAATGATGAACCCGGGTGACCGGAATTAAATCCCTAGCGAGGGGCAACATTGTTAGTGGCATCGAGTGATTATCTGAACCGGTCCTGCAGCCCCTCATTCCCCCCACTCCTTCACCAGCGTGGTTGAAGTATGGTCAAACAAACCCTGACAGACCAAGAGAGACAAAGACACAGATACGTACGAACGCAGAGAGATGAACATAGACGGACGGTATCAGGCGGAGGTGGTGGTTGTGGTGGCGGCCACGCTGCTGCCGCACGTGGCCACTGCCTGTGAATCCCAATTGTGTGGAGGCAGCAGCGAGGGGTTGGTAGATCACCGCACAGATCACGTTGTGAAACTCCCCTCCCGTGGGCGTCGAGGAGGAGATGGCCCATACCCCCTGGCTCGCTAGGAGAACGCGGTACAGCAAGTGGACTAATCGCCATCTGTTTCCATCTTCACGGGGATTGAGCGTTGCCCCCTCGTGCAAGGCGTGCTCCGGTTTATTCCTCCTCCCCCCACCTCCATTCATTCACTCGTCACGCACAGCCAGCGAAGGGGACCTTTGGCGCCCAACGTGGGAATACCTTGTGCGCCAGCATTCGCATGAACTGCTCTTGGCTGCCATAGACCGGCGTCTCGAGTGATTTGTTTGATCCATGGATCACGAGGAGGGATGGAGGGAGGGCGGAGGAAGGGAGGGAGGGAGGGAGGGAGCGGAGGAAGGGAGGAGGGAGGGAGGGAGGGAGGAGGGGGGTGGCAACCACGCTGGACGACGCTCCTCCTTTGAGCGTCGCAGTCCGCTTCGAACCTCGACCTCCTCCCCACGCGTCTCATGAATATCATAACAATAAGCACTCGTCAATAATTTGCTGAAAACTTCTTAAAATAAAACCCCCAAATGTAGCGGCGGCAGCAGCAGCAGCAGGAACCCACGCGGAACGAGTCCTACGACTGGGCGTGGCCCCCGCTGGACGAAGCGAGTGAGTTGCCAACATTCGCAGACGTCCCGCAGTGGAAATTAGTGAGCGGTTTTAATGGATCGGGGTTAAAAGCCCTGCAGAGCGGCGGTTGCCTCCTGGTGTCGAGACGCGGAGCTAATGCGCCTGCCCACACGCGATAGCGATCGTAATTGGTTCCAACTCTCCTCCTCATCGGTGCGTCACGCGTGGGGATTGCTGTGCCACGCACATCGCTAGCCGGAGCTCGAGAAGAGACGCGGGTACAGGGCTACCACGGTGGGTAGGAGATGTTAACTGCCTCGCCTGGTATACAGGAGGTCGTGGGTGCGATCCAGACCTTGACGCCTGTGTACTTGGAATGTGCGTGTCTCTCTCCCCGTGGTCGCGTGGATTTTTCTCCGGACTCCTCCAGTTATTCCCCTCCACATTTAGAAATGTACGTTTAGAGTATTTGGCCGCAATAACTTTCCACGTGACAAGCCACTTAGTTGAGCTGTCGTTTGTGCCCAGGTCGCTTTGAGAACGTGCAACATAGCTGAGTGGGCCTTGCCTGGAAAATACAATTTTAAGTTTTAGTTCGTTTAGTTTAGACTGCAGGCAACTCACCAAAGAATGCCTCGCTGAGTTTCGTGACTATTTTTTCTGGAGGGTCCTGCCAAGTAGATGCAGTAACGGGGGTGCGGGTGATTGCCGTGTGTAAATTCCAAGTGAGTACCTTGCGGCGTGATCGTTTAAACCCGGTCCGTGATGTTGTAACACGATTGACCAACTCTTGCGATTTTACGTGACGGGATCTCGAACGTCCGCTGTGCAGCAGATGGCGCGGGCCAGTGATGGTGAGTGCACACACCGCAGTACTAATCAGGGCAGCCACGGGATTCGAACCGTAAACCTCTGCAATTCGTGGGTGTACATCCGTGTATGTGTGCCTTTGTGTGGGAATCGGTAGTTCGGCGATTAGCGCGCTGCGCTTCAAACCCGGCAACCCGAGTACGATTCCCGCTCATGTCCAACACCGGTTCTATGCCTCCCCTAGATCGACTCGGCCTCAAATGAGTACCTGACCCCATGGTGTGAACATCACCATTGGCGAGACAGGCAGCTGGACGTGGTGCTGGTCACTCACCCCCCTCGTGTGCCGTCCCGGCCTTAATAGGTGCTCGCTAACAGCACTTACCCAAACAGTCTGATCAAGACTACACGAGGGGGTCTCTGTATGTGAGTGCAGAATAGGAGGCAGAATAGGGGACAGATGGTACGGGGAGCAATTCTGCTCGTTAAGGGGTGTGGGGGGGGGTAAGGGGGGCATGGCCCCCCACGCAATGGCCGCTTGAGACGACTCACGTCAGGGGACCAGGGCGCGGGTTCTCTGCTGTTTGCGGGGTGGCCCCCCTCCCCCTCCTCCTCCTGGCGGCGCGGCGCGGGGCCTCGGGACGCGAGCATCGCGGCCAAGTCCACCCTGTTGTGGGGCCCCGGTGGAGGCACGGACCGCCGGTCTGGGGACTGTGGGGGGACACGGGGACATGTGGGGGGGACACGGGGACGCGTGCGCTCGTCATTCAGCGACATGGGAGACACGTGGGGGGGGGGGGGTGGGGGGACAGGAGGAGATGCCGAGACGCGGGCACGACAACACGCAGAGACACGGGGACACGGATGTGGGGGACACGCGGACACGGGGAGACACGAGGAGACATGGGCACGGGGCGACGATGACATGCGAACACGGGGACACGGGGACACGAGGACACGGGGACACGGGGACACGGGGATACGGGGACACGGGGACACGGGGACACGGGTCATACGTGGAAACGAGGAGACAGACGAGGGGGCACAGGGACAAAGGAATGCTAGGATTCGGAGATGGGCACGCGAGTATGTGAGCGCACACAAACCACACGCGCTTACCGAGCAAAATCAAGTCAACACGAGTGGAGAAATCAATTAGTGCAGTTCATGTGTGTTCATGCGCGTTTATGTGTGCGAACTGCACTGCGCTACGACCCCGGCGACCAGAGTTCGAATCCCGATCACGGCCAACGAATAAACGAAACCGATCCTGGGCCCCGTTCCACTGGCCTCCCCCAGCCTTGAGCGAGTACCTGTTGCGGAGTTGCGTACATCGCCACTGGGGAGACAAAGGCAGTCGGGGCGTGGTTCTAGATATTTTGTCTGGGTTGGGACCCCCAGACACCCTAGAAGGTTTGGTCCCCCCCAATGTTGACTCCCTGGTTGCGGCCTTGCTTCATTCACGTCGTCTTGGAGAAACAGACTCGTTGTTTAAACTGCTACGCCGTCTAGACGGAGTTTCACACTCGCTACGTTGCATATTCGGGCAACCCAATTGCGTTCAACATCGGAATGCGGTCACAGTCCTCTCACATGCCGACTCCTTGTTGCGCTTCTTAATTACGGTGCATTCTCTGCCAGCGTTGTTATCGGGCATCATCTAATTCACCGCCAGATGAAGCCCCTCGCTCGCCAAGCCGCTGACATTTCTCATTCTCGCGATGCCACGATCCAGCCGGCTCCTGCACGTGAGCATATTTCGCCACTCTGTCTCCGTGACGGACGTCCCGCGCGAACGTGGCGTTCCCTCTCTTGGCTGTCATCATATCATTCGTCTCGATCACCCGCCATCCATCTCGTCTCGCGAAATCCACTTGCCTTGACTCTCAACGTGATATTCAACAACCCGCGTATACGTCATCTAATCCACGTGTTCGCCTTCCAGTCTCTCAGTGTAAGTCCACGACTCCCATTCTCTCTATCTATCTCGTACCTCCGATTAGCACGGTTGGCTACGTACGGTGCGAAAGAAGTTCAACATACGTCTATCTGTGTCCGCGTGTAAACCTCAATGTTTCCTGCACGCAGCCGGTCCTTCTGTAACATCCAACATCTCCCTCTCCTCGCAGTGACTGTGCTATTGCCATCGTAGGGTGGCGTTCATCCAGCAGTGCATTAGCCTCAGCTGCTGCTGTTGCTGACGATAGTGATAGTTGGAGAGAGAGAGAAAAAAAACCCTGTTATTATCATACATAATTAACCTATTATTCTATGCATGGGTTCACTGAAGCGGCAACTTGATAAATCATCCCGTCGTCTTATCGACGTGAAATGGAGCTATTTCTGGTTTCCAACATCGCACGAAAATCTAATTTGTCCAGTCCACGGAGAACCTGAAACAAACCCGGGAGCCGCGGCGATGGGAGGAAAGGCCAGCGCCGGCAAGTTATAGATTTAAACAGTTTAGGAATGAGAGCGTGCACGAGAGAGGCAGAGACCTCGTGCATTGAAAGATATCCAAAACCTTCGCTAACTACTAACCCCAGTCACTGAACGTTTTTATTATCCACCACGTGGCAGGGCTTCAATCCAGCCGGGCCTGACCCGGAACCAGCCAGCCAGAAAGTGCTTGCCAACCCGGCACACCACGTCCTGGATGTACCTCTCGCTGGCGGGGCTGCTACACAATTCTGGAGTCACATGCGGCGCCGACTCCAATTTTAGGCAGTGAGCCAAGAAAATACTGAGCCAAAAATATAAATACAGGTCGCTTCAAAAAAATGTGAACACTTCCGAGAATTTGCAACAACACCACGAGAAATGTGCTTCCGGGCTCTGGAGACCACCTGGAGAAGATTCCAGGCAATGTGTTGACAATGCTGGCGAACAAGTGGAGACTCTTTGACTTTTTTAAGCTATTAACATACATTTGTTATCATGTTGCAGTGTTTCATCTTCTTGTTTCTTTCGGTAAAGTCACGTAGAAGGGAAGTAATAAAATAATAAAAATAAAACATAATAAAACAATTCTCACGACGTTTCGGCTACAACGCAAGCAGCCGTCTTCAGGTGAAGAATGAGACACTACCAAACTAGGAGCTTATATATAAGCTGCATTGGGGGTTGAAGAGCGCCTTAACAAAAAGAATGTGCATGTGAAGAGGAATTTAGCATATTCATGGAAAATGCGTAGGCGTTGGGCGGGGGGGTGTCAAAGTCATATTATGCCCATGCATTATGCAGGATCAGCAGCAACCAAGGGGGGTGCATGGATTAGCAGTAACAAAGGAAAGGAATGTTAATGATATGTAGCTGCAGTTACTCAACAACCACGTAGAAAACTAAAGTATAAACTACATAAAAACTAAAGTATAAACTGCATCGCACCATCAGTATACTTACTATACTCTATAATAAGCTGAGTTACTAACAGCAAGTAATACATTACAATTCTACCTCGTAAAAATTCTATAATATGCTTCCATCTAAACCTTATTCTCTTATATCACACGAGCATATACCGTACTATATACTGCCATAGATAAACCCAACATTAAATTATATACTGTATTGCTGTAAACCAACCTATATCTTATACATTTAATATAACACTATGTATTATTCTACACACCCTAATGTGTATCGAAATGGTTTATTACGTCCTTCCAATGATTGCTGAGCCAGAATCCATCTTCTCGGTTAAAATTGTCTCTGTGTTTGTATATGTGGATCGCCTCATGAACGAATCTCTCATGATAGCCAGATGGCTTGCAGAGAACCTCTGTCTTGGAGAAGTCGATATCATGTGAGCCCACTGAGTTGTAACAGTGATCTGCCACGGCTGAGGTGTTTGTCCTACCGTGTTTCAGGTCAGCTTTATGTTCACGGATGCGGTCCGAGACATGTCGTTTGGTTTCCCCAATGTAACTGCTACCACAGAGGAAACTTAGTTTGTAGACGCCAGGGTACTGTATGTCTGGAACCACATCTTTCACAGACGGTACCAGATCACGGATTTTATGTACTGTGTTGAATCGGACCTGGATCTTGTGTTTAATCAGGATTTTGGAGATCTTTTTTGTGACTCCAGCAATGTAGGGTAAGGTGATGGTCTTGAAAGGCTCCTCAACAGGATCCTTCTTGATGGTTGGAGTGATGGCTTTGCGGATTGTATAGTCGGAGTAACCATTTGCCTTAAGAGCTTGGCGTACGTGTTTGAGTTCACTGGAAATGTGTTCATGGTCGGAGATGCATTGGGCTCTATGATATAGAGTCTTGATGAGGGAATTCTTCTGGGATGGATGGTGGTGGGAATCCGGTTTTAGATAAGCATCCGTGTGGGTGGCTTTCCTGTAGACAGAGTGGCTCATTGAACCATCAGGTCTCCTTTTGATTAGGACATCCAAAAAGGGTAGCTTGCCATCATTTTCGACTTCCATGGTGAATCTGATGGCTGGGTGTATGGAATTGATGTGGTCGAGAAATTGGTCTAGAGCAGGCCGGCCATGTGGCCAGATGACAAAAGTGTCGTCTACGTACCTCTTCCATAAGGTCGGGCGTAGAGTGGCAGTCTGGATAGCGTCCGTCTCAAATTTCTCCATGAAGATGTTGGCTACAACCGGAGATAGGGGGGAGCCCATTGGGGTGCCCTCAATTTGCTTGTAGAAGGTTCCATTCCAGGTGAAGTATGTATTGGTTAAGCAGTGTTTCACCAGGGGGGGTACCCCAGCATTCAGTCCTTGATGAACCAAGTCTTCAATGATTGCGATGGTGTCAGGCACAGGTACCTTGGTGAACAAGGAAACCACATCAAAACTGACAAGCAGGTCGTCTGGGGACAGGGCAATCCCCTTGATTGTCGATACCAGGTCAGTAGAGTTTAGTACTGCAGAGGTGGTTTTTCCAGTGAAAGGCCGTAGGATTTCGGACAAAAAACGAGCCAGTTTGTAAGTGGGGGAGTTGATAGTAGAGACAATGGGACGAAGAGGTGTATCTTCTTTATGTATCTTTGGCAAGCCGTACAATCTTGGTGGTCTGGCTGCAGAAGGTTTCAACGAGAACTGTTTGGTCTGATCAATTAATGCGGTTGAAGCAGAAATGATGTTGTTGGTTTTGGAGACGAGGCTGTTGGTGGGGTCTCTTTTTATTTTTGTATAGCTGCCATCGTTTAATAGTTCTTGAATTTTGTTGTTGTATTCTATTTTGTCCATGATGACAGTGGCATTGCCTTTGTCGGCTGAGAGGATGACAATGTCATCCCTCTTTTTTAATTGAGCTAATTCAAAACGCTCCTCTTTGCTGATGTTGCTAGCTGGCATCTTAGCGTTTTTGAGGGTTACAGAGATTTCAGATCTTGCTACGTCTGCAGCGATGTGACTCAAGCCCTTGAGAGCTACATCTACTCGAGCAATTATATCATTAACTGGTATGTGTCTAGGTGTGACTGCAAAGTTTAGTCCTTTAGCTAAAACGGATTTCAAACCTTCAGAAATAGGACTGTTACTGCGATTAATTACGACTTTGTTAATATCTAGCTTTTCAATGTGTGGGTCCGGTTTCTTGTTTGAGAGGCGATTGAATTTGGAAATCAAGTTGTCCTTACATTTAGTCGACATAGCGGCAGCTGAAGAGGCAGTCATTTTTTCCACATGTTCCCAATCCGATGTGGACATTGTTACACTCAAAGATAAGTGTGATTTGTAGAGTGTCTT